CTGACACATTCTGTGTCTCGTGCTAAAATCCACATGACACAAAAACATTTTTAAAAACATGGTCACTGTGTCCAAACCGGCCTGATGAGACAAAGTCAGGTCACACTGAGCAGCTGGAAACCTGTCAGGACATGTGGTTTGGACACAGTCTGAGTCAGTCACACACTCACACACACACACACACACACACACACACACACACATTAGGACTGACACATTCTGTGTCTCATGCTAAAATCCACATGACACAAAAACATTTTTAAAAACATGGTCACTGTGTCCAAACCGGCCTGATGAGACAAAGTCAGGTCACACTGAGCAGCTGGAAACCTGTCAGGACATGTGGTTTGGACACAGTCTGAGTCAGTCACACACTCACACACACACACACACACACACACACACACACACCAATATAACAAAGAGTGAAAAATTTAAGGGGGTCTGAATACTTTCCGTACCCACTGTACATTTCCATGGATTTTATCTACCAGTTTTGCTAATGTCAATTAAAAGTAAAACTATTCAAATCAATGTTGGTAACTGAAATAAAGCTGAAATAAAATATAATAGAAAATAGATATTTAGTAAGTTAAAAAATGTACACTAAATAAAAAATGTTGCCTAATTTTGTTTTAAGTTACAAATTTAAAAATAAAAAAGATTAAATTAAATTAAATAATAAAATAATTTTTTTTTAGAACTTTTTAAATGTTTTTAAAGCTTGTTGCCTTGTTTAAGTCTTTTTAGACTCACTAAAAGCAGGATGCATAATATTTATTATTATATTATTATGATATATTATTATATATTTTGGGCATAACTAGTCATTTTCATCATATATATTTCCATTGCTTTAAAATTGTATCCATTTTATTCAGCTGTGTTGTTATTAGCTAAAACTAAAACTAAAAATAAAATATAATATAAATATTAGATGAAAAACTTTAAAAATTAAAATTAGAAATGTTGCCTTGGAAACGAACTGAAAGAGGTTTAGAAAGAAGTACATATATGACTAAAACTAAAATTCAAATTTAAAATTAAATCTAAATGACTAAATGTAAATGTAAATCTAAAAAAAAATATTGGAAAAAATATATAATGTGTAAAAAATTATTAATGACAAAAGCACATGGAATAAAACTAAAACTATATATACAAAATATTATAATGATAAATATAAAATGTAAAAAACATATAAAATAATAATAATAAAATATATAAACAATACCAAAATAACACTGTTGTTCACATTTTCAAGTTTATATTCATATTTGTTTTTGTAACTGTGGGAACCCTGTATGTAACACTTCATAAACTCAACATGAACTTATGCTAATATGACAGCATTACGCTGCTGTGAATCAGACCGCCACCAAAACAATTCCTGATGAAGTTCTGAAACATCACAGCAGTAATGGCTCAAACCCAGATGCTGAGTTTGTCTGTGACTGTAAGGTCCTACGATGGCGCTCATACTCACAAAGTAGATGTCAGTGGTTGAGGCGAGCTCTTCCTCCAGAGATCCGCGGCTCTGGGACTCTGAGAGACGCTGCGTGTTTGGGCTGGAGGCTGCTTCAGGGGCCGGAGCTGACTCCAGGGCCCCGCTTTCTGTCAGAGGAGCTGTTTCCACAGGAAGTGTCGTCTGGGATACGGTTTCCTGGGCAACGGGTGCTGTTTCTGAGACGAGGTCATCAGTGTCTGGAGGAGGAACGTCCGTCACCGAGCTAAAAAAAAAAAAGAGAAGAGGGCAAATATGGACAAAAATTATTAAGACTCAAATCTTTTTATAATAGGGGTGAAATCTTAAATAATCATTAGCTTATAATTAATTAATTTAATTAAAAATGTTAAATATAGTTTATTTAGAATAATAATAATTATATATAATATACATGTAATAACAGGGATAATTGTAAAATAATGATCAGTTATTAATTAAATTAATTACATTAAATTCAAACATGAATTCATTAGTTATTAAATGAATAAAAAAGTAAAAAAATATATAATTTATAATAATAATATATTATTTATAGTATATAATATAAATATAATAAGAGGTGTAAATGTAAATTATTAGCTAATAATTAATTAAATTGTAAAATATAAATATTATTAATAATAATAATATTATTATTATTATAGTACTTATATAATATAAATATAATAAAAGGGATAAATGTAATAAATATAATAAGAAGGACACATGTAAAATAATTATTGGTAATAATTAATTAAAATATAAATATATAAATGTAAAATATTAATATTTTATTTTTAATATTCATAATAATATTTATTTATAATAAAATATCAATATGATAAGAGGGATAAATGTAAATACTAAAATAAATACAAAATTTTATAACAAAAACAAATGAAAATTAACCTATTATTTAAAAAAGATTAAATATTTTATTTGTTTACACACAAATCCGCATCAGAGAAGCACGATCATGTGAATGTGTTGTTGTCCTCTAAGGAGGATTTCATGTAGATATTTTAGCTCAGAAAGGTTTTGGCTGAATCCCTGCATTAAATCACCTACAAACTAAAACACTGATCTGGGATCAGGTTCTTACTTGAGACAGTAAGTGGCCACCTAGCAACCACTCAAAACTTCCTAGCAACCAGTTCTGCAAGGCTCACATCACTCACGATTTAAAAGAGACAGTAAATGTAAACATCTAGCTTTTGAGGTTTGCACAGTATCACTGACTCCTTATTTAGCCTGACAGACACTTTCCATAAAGAATTCAAAGTGACAGAAGTGCTGAGAGCGAGGCTTTGAGTGTTTGGCGTGAGGAGTAAAGCAGAAACAGAGGGTCTGCAGTAAAGCTCTCCGGACCATATGTGTCCCTGGAGCACAAAAGCAGTCTTAAGTCGCTGGGGTATATTTGTAGCAATAGCCAACAATACATTGTATGGGTCAAAATGATTGATTTTTCTTTTATGCCAAAAATCATTAGGATATTAAGTAAAGATCATGTTCCATGAAGATATTTTGTAAATTTCCTATCGTAAATATATCAAAACTTAATTTTTGATTAGTAATATGCATTGCTAAGAACTTAATTTGGACAACTTTAAAGATGATTTTCTATAATATAAATATAATAAAAGGGATAAATGTAAAATAATTACGAGTTATTAATTAATTTATTAAATATAAATGTAAAATATAAATATTCTATTTAGAATAATAATAGAAAAATTGACACTTAAGACTGGTTTTGTGGTCCAGGGTCACATATGGCCAAAGCCTACACCTGGATCTCACAGATCTACCGCTTCAATAATAGGCCAGAAAACTGATGCATATTTCATAAATCCAGCAGAAACAGCAGACAGTCCTCTGGCAGAGTGATTCGGGATGCACTAATCATAATCTCAGATACTGTGTAGAAATATTATGTGAATCAGGATGAAGTCTGAGAGCTGTTTGATCAGGGATAATGTACAGCTGGTCATTATCCCAAAATCAATCCCAGCAGGGTGATCACTATCACACTCAATAAAATATTTAGGCCTACATTTAGGACTTATATATTTGAATTGTATCTAAAATTTCCATCCATTTGATTTGGATTACACAGTTTTAACATAAACTAAATTAATCTGATGCATATGCATGATGCAGTTAGTATCTCTTCAAAAAAAAAAATCATGGCATAGTTTATTATTGGCTATTTGTTTCTATTTCATTTTAATTAAATAAGCACATTTTCAAAATAGCTTAGAATTCAACTGAATTCAATTGTATTTAAAACACATTTGGTTTATTAGTACTATTACAGAGATCTGACCCATTTCTTATCGGTTTCCTCTATGCGTTACTAAAAAATATGCATCACATTAAGTTTATCAGTTTAGGTTAAAACTGTGTAATCCAAATCCAAATATTACACGCAATTCGAATACATAAATTAAATATACAGAAATATTATATTATTTTTGCTAACTGAAATAAAGCTGAAATAAAATATAATAGAAATATTAGATACTATTTGATAAGTTAAAAAACTTAAATTAAAAATGTAGTGTAATTTGTGTTTAATGTTTGTTAAACGTTTAATTAAAAAAATCAATGTTGTTTTTTTTATATTTAATATTATATTATGATATTTTTTGAGCATAACTAGTCATTTTCACCATAGATGTTTCCATTGCTTTAAGATTTTATCCATTTTATTCACCTGTGTTGTTGTTAGCTAAAACTAAAACTATCCAAACGGTTTTCATTAACTAAAATCAAGCTGAAATAAAATATCAAAAAGTAATTTTTTAGTTAAAAAACTTGAAATGTTGCCTTGGCAACTAACTGAAATAAAACGTTTAAATAGAAGTGCTCAAATAAAAATAAATGAAAAATACACAGTATTTAGTGCAGGCTCACACATTCACATATATGCATATGGCAGATGCTTTTATCCAAAGCAACTTACAGTATATTGCATTCAAGATATACATCTTTTCGTGCATTCGCTAGGAAAACAAACCATTGACTTAGTTCTCTTAAACAAATAACTGAAAACATGATGAAAATACTGTATCAGAGACTGAGTGCTGCTGGTATGAGATTCATATGCATGTTTACTGTGGTGATTTCTGGCAGTATTTGCACGTACTGTGTCACAGAGACGTCTGGCTCCTCCTCCTCGTCTTCTCTCTCTCTCTTCACCTCCACCTGCACAGTGATGGTCAGCTGCTCTTCCTCATGCACATCCACCACCTCATGTGTCCTGCCAAAACAAGCACATTCAGCTAGAAAAACCCACTAAAAAATGACCTTCTTACTCAGTATATTTGTCTTGTTTTCCAGTACAAATATCGAAACATTCTCACATCAAAATACATTTACTTGAGAAGCAAAATCTTTTGCTTGATTTTTGACTGGAGCCAATGGAGTCAAAATAAATAAATAAATAAAATAAAAAATTAATTCAAAGGGAAAACTAGATTATTTTCCTGCCTCCACTAGCAGCTATTTTTTCTTGTTTTCAGAAAAAAAAAAGTATATATATATATATATGTGTGTATATACAGTGGGTACGGAAAGTATTCAGACCCCCTTAAAAAAATTAACTTAAATGATTTTAGCAAATGGCTGCAATATAACAAAGAGTGAAAAATGTAAGGGGGTCTGAATACTTTCCGTACCCACTGTATATATATATATATATATATTTAATTAAATTACAAAAGTTAATTTTGATGAATTGTCTGAACATCTTAGGTCATATAGTTAATATATCTTGATTTAAATACCGAGTAAGAAACTCATGTTTTGCATCATGATTGATAAACTAGCTGATGTGAGCATGTAAAGTCACAGTTCAATATGGTTTGTAAACAGAAATACAGTCATGCCAATGAAGCTCACCTTCCCTCGACGTCTTTCAGAGACAATGTGTGTCTTCTGTGAAAACAAAAGAGAACAAAAATATATTCAAAGATATTCATATCCAGGTGGTCAGAAAATAAGCAGCCTTGTCGTTGTTGTTGAAACCTTTATATATCATTTTTACTGCATTAATTATGCCTCATAATTGCATTGTATGATCTTATGAATAATTACTACTACAGTTATAATATAATACATATCTATTAATTGTTACACCTTTAGAAAGCACAGTATAATGCAGTAAAACAGCTTCAGAAGCAACAAGGAATCTGAAAATATTATAATGCATTTTAACTTTGGTTACAATTATTTATGAGAATATATAATGCATTATAGGTTATATTATGAATGCCTTTATAATGCATTATACATAAAGGCTTCAAGTGAAGTGTTACTGTTGCTTCTTATTTCGTGACTGAATATGAAGTCATCTCTGTAAACGAGGTGATTAATGTTGACCTGTAGCGTGGCTGCTCTGTGGTGTCTGACGGAGAGCGTTCTGGGATTGATATGGAGGTGTTGGAGGACAGAGTTGTGGCCACAGACGCCGTGGTCGCTTCCTCGAACGATGGAGGAGTGCAGGACTGCAGACCTGAGACAATAAATAAGCAAAAAGTGTTTGGTCTTTTGTGCTCAACAGAAGAAAGATCCTCATTCAGGTCTGGAACAAGTGGAGGATGAGTAAATGATGACGGAATTTTCATTTTTGGGTGAACTGTCTCTTTAAGTGAGCATTCCATTTGATCACTGTGCGAACATTATGGGAATGTTACTTTTAAATATTTAAATGTTACTTTTAAATGAACATTCTGAAACTAGTTGTAACATTTAAAAAAAAACTAAAAGGTTTCAGGAAAAAAGTTATATGAATAATGCATATATAATGTTTTTGTACTTACATTTTGAGAAAATGATTAAAGAGATATAATTGAACAAACATTCTATTAACGTTATTGGAAGAACATTTGTTCCTAACTTTGAGAGACTGTGCAGAATACATTGTAAAATGTAATTGTTTTTTATTGTATATGATACTACAGTGTATAAAAATTTCCAAAACTTTGAAAATAATTTTTAAAGAATGCTACATTGCTGTCAAATGACTTTATTATGTTGCATGTTTAAATTCATGTCCAGTTCATGTAAAAAAATAAATATGATTAATGTGAAATTTTAGTCAAGTGCAAGTCAAGTCAAGTGCATTGCATTATGGGATTCATTCTAGTCTAATGCTATTGTAAACATGGCCAAAAGCTTTTCACAGCTAATAAACGATCAACAACAACAGCAACCGTCTGAATCTGCGTTTGAGGCATTAAGATCATTTTTTTATTAATTGCTTGTTAATTGCATTGCACTCAGGATAGCAATATATAATATCTGAATTCAGAGAAAAAAAGTAATAAATGTGAGCTATAAACTCAGAATTGCAATAGGCCTATATAATCTCTGAATTCAGTGAAAAAAGTAATAAATGTGAGCTATAAACTCAGAATTGCAATATATAATCTCTGAATTCAGAGAAAAAAGTAATAAATGTCAGCTATAAACTCAGAATTGCGAGATATAATCTATGATTTCAGAGAAAAAAAGTAATAAATGTGAGCTATAAACTCAGAATTGCAATATATAATCTCTGAATTCAGTGAAAACAGTATTAAATGTGAGCTATAAACTCAGGATTGCAATATATAATCTCTGAATTCAGTGAAAACAGTATTAAATGTGAGCTATAAACTCAGGATTGCAATATATAATCTCTGAATTCAGTGAAAACAGTATTAAATGTGAGCTATAAACTCAGGATTGCAATATATAATCTCTGAATTCAGTGAAAACAGTATTAAATGTGAGCTATAAACTCAGGATTGCAATATATAATCTCTGAATTCAGTGAAAACAGTATTAAATGTGAGCTATAAACTCAGGATTGCAATATATAATCTCTGAATTCAGTGAAAACAGTATTAAATGTGAGCTATAAACTCAGGATTGCAATATATAATCTCTGAATTCAGTGAAAACAGTATTAAATGTGAGCTATAAACTCAGGATTGCAATATATAATCTCTGAATTCAGTGAAAACAGTATTAAATGTGAGCTATAAACTCAGGATTGCAATATATAATCTCTGAATTCAGTGAAAACAGTATTAAATGTGAGCTATAAACTCAGGATTGCAATATATAATCTCTGAATTCAGTGAAAACAGTATTAAATGTGAGCTATAAACTCAGGATTGCAATATATAATCTCTGAATTCAGTGAAAACAGTATTAAATGTGAGCTATAAACTCAGGATTGCAATATATAATCTCTGAATTCAGTGAAAACAGTATTAAATGTGAGCTATAAACTCAGGATTGCAATATATAATCTCTGAATTCAGTGAAAACAGTATTAAATGTGAGCTATAAACTCAGGATTGCAATATATAATCTCTGAATTCAGTGAAAACAGTATTAAATGTGAGCTATAAACTCAGGATTGCAATATATAATCTCTGAATTCAGTGAAAACAGTATTAAATGTGAGCTATAAACTCAGGATTGCAATATATAATCTCTGAATTCAGTGAAAACAGTATTAAATGTGAGCTATAAACTCAGGATTGCAATATATAATCTCTGAATTCAGTGAAAACAGTATTAAATGTGAGCTATAAACTCAGGATTGCAATATATAATCTCTGAATTCAGTGAAAACAGTATTAAATGTGAGCTATAAACTCAGGATTGCAATATATAATCTCTGAATTCAGTGAAAACAGTATTAAATGTGAGCTATAAACTCAGGATTGCAATATATAATCTCTGAATTCAGTGAAAACAGTATTAAATGTGAGCTATAAACTCAGGATTGCAATATATAATCTCTGAATTCAGTGAAAACAGTATTAAATGTGAGCTATAAACTCAGGATTGCAATATATAATCTCTGAATTCAGTGAAAACAGTATTAAATGTGAGCTATAAACTCAGGATTGCAATATATAATCTCTGAATTCAGTGAAAACAGTATTAAATGTGAGCTATAAACTCAGGATTGCAATATATAATCTCTGAATTCAGTGAAAACAGTATTAAATGTGAGCTATAAACTCAGGATTGCAATATATAATCTCTGAATTCAGTGAAAACAGTATTAAATGTGAGCTATAAACTCAGGATTGCAATATATAATCTCTGAATTCAGTGAAAACAGTATTAAATGTGAGCTATAAACTCAGGATTGCAATATATAATCTCTGAATTCAGTGAAAACAGTATTAAATGTGAGCTATAAACTCAGGATTGCAATATATAATCTCTGAATTCAGTGAAAACAGTATTAAATGTGAGCTATAAACTCAGGATTGCAATATATAATCTCTGAATTCAGTGAAAACAGTATTAAATGTGAGCTATAAACTCAGGATTGCAATATATAATCTCTGAATTCAGTGAAAACAGTATTAAATGTGAGCTATAAACTCAGGATTGCAATATATAATCTCTGAATTCAGTGAAAACAGTATTAAATGTGAGCTATAAACTCAGGATTGCAATATATAATCTCTGAATTCAGTGAAAACAGTAATAAATGTGAGCTATAAACTCAGAATTGCAATAGGCCTATATAATCTCTGAATTCAGAGAAAAAAATGTAAGAATTGTGAGACAAAAAGTCACAATTGCCTTTTTAATTTTTATTCCCTGGTGCAAACTGGCTTCTATGCAAAACACTACTTATCAAAAGCATGCACATAAAAGTAGGATAATCACCATGGTTTTCCAGCACGGGGAAGCTGCGCGCTCCTCTCAGATCATAGATGTTCTCGTCTCTCTCTGAGGGAAGCTGGCAGGCTGACCAGGCCGCTCCGGGGCCGCTGAGTTTGGGCACGGTCAGCACCGCACGGCCCTTCTTAGCAGGAGAAGCCTTCAGCGCTGGACAAACCAGAATCAGACTTCTGTTAGATTACAGCGTCTCCTTCAGCTCTTTATCACTACAGTCGTTCTGTGAGGCACTCACAAGTGCTTTTCTTGAACACAGTGCTGCTCATGAACCTGAAGAAGCGGTCAGCGTAGAAGTTCGGTCGGTGGACGGAAACAGTGTCCTGAGAGAAATATGAGTATATACTGATCAGGTAAAATGGGTCTAAATAATAATAAAACTCCTATTTGAACTATTTATATTTACTTTAATGTCTATTAAAGTTTCTCAATGTCATTATTGAGGTGCAAATTATCATTCGAATCGCTGCAGAAGAGGCACATTATTATATTTAGCATATTTTGCCTAAATAGAGTAATTTTAGATTTTTTGACTTCTGCTAATATTTTCATGACAGTTAAGCACATTATACTTTTTTTTTTTTTAAATGTCACTGCTTAACGCAAAAGAACAAAACATATTATAGATAAACTATATTTACATTTAGTCATTTAGCAGACGCTTTTATCCAAAAAATAAATGGAAGCAATCAAAATCAACAAAAGAGCAATGATATGTAAGTGCTATAACAAGTCTCAGTTAGCTTAACGCAGTACATGTAGTAAGGTTTTTCTTTTTCAAAATATAAACTATATATTTATATATAATATTATATATAATTTAACTATTATTGTATTGCATATATATATATATATATATATATATATATTATTTCTGTTTATGTCATAGTAGTATTTGTTATACTGCATTTAATTTATCCTGATTAAAAAAATCATTATATTATAATAATATTTAACTTTTTATATTAAATTGTACCATACAAATACTGTATTGCAATAATGAGAATCTAATAAGAATCATCATTGAGAACAAGTAAAACTCAAAAGTAAAACATCCATACGCCAGATGAGTTTTTTCTCTAGTATGATAATTAGAAATTTACGAGAAAATGAATTATTCTAATTCTCATTAATTATCATGAAAATTCTGTCTAAAAAAGACTTCATTTACTGTTTGTATAATTATACTTCGATGCAATGTGTTTATTTTAGGGTGAAATATGACATGGACATGTTTCTATGAAATTCACATTTATAGAAATTGCAGTAGTCAATTTGATTTACACAAATCTGCTTTCAAGTGTACAAATGTGCCTAATAAGACAAAACAAAATCATTCAGATCTGTCAAACACCGCCTGCAGGAAGAATCCAGCGTGTCTTACAGGAACAGTGTTTGATGGGAACATGTGGGAGTGTTTGGGGAGAAAAGCACAGACTGGAACTGAAGTAGAGAGAAACAGAAGTTGGAAAGCAAATGGAAAGAGATGTTCTCTCAGACTTACACTCACACTATCTACAGTGAAACCAAACACAAGTGATCCTTATCAAAGTCTGTCCACTGTCTCAGTCAATCTCCACAACACACACACACACACACACACACACACACAGAGACAGACAGACAGACAGACAGACACACACACACACACACACATTAATAAAGGAGGCCACAGGGTGAAATGACTCTACTGGGGCAAATTCAGTATTCACCTTCACAAATAACTGTGCCTCACAGCTGGTGTTGATACAGATGTGCAGGTATCAGAGATGTGTGTTTATGACAATATTTCACCCCAAAAACTTCACAGCACCTGCACCATATGCAATATATAAAATAATTTTTAAAGGGCCCAAAATGAAATATTAAATAAAATAAAAACACTGCAACAAAGTCAACAAATAAATAAATAATGTCCACGTTTACCTAATTAACAGTCTTAAAAGTACAGTTTTAATTTTTTTAATAAATGTATAGCTTAATAATTATTTTAAATGAAATTAAATACATTTTAACAACACTCAAGCACCATATGCAATGTAAAACACAATTCAAAATATTGCCACAATATTGGCAATAAAAACAATAAAAATAAAATCTTAAATTTCTTCTTCTTAAGATTCTTAAAAGGTAGGTAGTTGTTAAATTTTTGTTAAATGTAAAATTTTCTAAACTACAAATTTATAGTTTAATAATTATTTTAACAACAATATTAACTACAGGGCAGGGCACCTGCGTCATAAAACACAACTTTAAAATTATATTATGCCTAATTATGTTAAAACAAATATTGGCACAATTTTGAAAATGAATAAAGAATTTATTATTTAATAATTATTTTTTTAAATAATAATAATAATAAGGTTTGAGATTTGTATGGAATTAATATGAAGTAAGTTTTATTGGGGAAGGAGGGTCATGAATCAGTGTGTGTTTATACTGTAGATGTACAGTATCAGACGTGATGTGTATTAATGCTCTGAGATGGCAGACGCATGGGTTATGATGCATTATAACGGTCAAGACGATGAAGATGATGATGATGATGTATTTGTGTGAGTTTCTCACTCCGTCATGCACCAGAGCCTTCCACGTGTGTTCCAGCTTCTTTGTGAGTCTGCAGAAAAACACAAACATCAGCTTCACGTCACAGACTGCTGAGTGTCCTGATGGAGAACTCAATGCAGTCTTATAAAAACCGTTACATAAGAGCATAAAACAACCCCAAACGCTAGTGAAGGTTATAAAGCCATGCGCTTCATCATCTGTACGAGGTTCACTGGCGTGACTCTCGAGCAAAAGAGCACAAACACACACTAACGGAGAATCAAAGAGCAGCAGGAGAGAAAATACACACGCGCAAAGCTACAGGCCACCTGCACCGTGTGCAATAGAAAACACAATTTAAAAAGGGCCCAAAATAAAATAAAATTTAATATTTTTTAAATATCAATCACTATTAAATAAATAAATAAATTTTTGTATTATTTTTTAAATACTCACTTTTTAAATTTTGCCATAAAATATTGCAATATTGATATTTCTTATTTTTTTAATTTATTTAATTTAGGACAAAATAAAATAAATAAATAAATACATATATAAATAATGGTCAGATTTACATAATTAGGAGTCTTAAAAGGTAGACAGCTAAAAAAATAATAATGTATAGCTCAACAATTGTTCTAAATTAAATTAAATTATTTTAATAACAACTACAAGGCACAAGCACTGTGTGTAATATAAAATACAATTCAAAATATTGCCACAATTTTGCCAATAACTAAATAAATAAAATAAAAACAAAGGGCCAGATTTACTTAAATCAGAGTCTGCAAAGGTAAGCTTTTTTTTTTTTTTTTACATTTATAGTTTAATAATTATTTAATTGTATTAATTCCAACCACCTGCACCACGAAACACAATTTAAAGGCTTAAATTAGCTTAAAACAAATATTGCCCCAATTTTTCAAATAATCAAATAAATACATAAACAAGTATTATAGTTTCATAATTAATTTAACAATATAATATTTTCAGATATCAAAATATATTTAAAAAATGTTAAATCAAAATTTTACATAAATACTATATAAATATACTTTTAAAATAAATATAAACATCAGTTTAAAAGTTAATTTAAATGTTAAATCTTAAGCAGGTTTGATACTCATATGGCAATGACTTAAATCACTCCTAAAAAGTAATAATAAAATAATAAAAATAAATGAATAAATGTGGGCATTTTTGTAGGTGATGAATCACGTGACTTGCAAATCAGGATTTCTCTGATTCAGAGAACAGAGCAGATCTGAAATGTGCTTTACGAATGAACTGATGTTATTTCATTATCATGAGTGTGACCTGTAGGACTGCAGGATGTCTATGATGCCGATGAAGAGCAGGAGTCTCTCTCCTTTGCTGTTGACAGCAGGAATGCCACCCATCCTGCAGAGAGAGCAGAGAATCTTATTCTGTGGTGTTTATATAAGCCTTTTGACGAGTTGAGTCTAACTCACCAAGTGAATGAATCACGTTTGTGCCGAACTCTTATTACAAAGCAAAAACAAACACTCTCCTCTGATCCATGAACGCTTCTCTCAGTTAACATACACGATCTCACTGTCTGAAGCGTCTGTCATAGCAAATCAACACATGCTGTTGTGAATAATTAAGCAAAGCGTCTTCTCATAGGATAAGAACACGCAGTCTCATGAATAATTTAATAGACACCGACACGTCATCGATGTACTATTAGTCCACTGACACGTCACAAATTGTGACGTCAACACAATGTAGATTTTAAACCCGGAAGATGAAAATAGCGCAAAAAAGCCTAAAATTAACCAGTTTTCTCCAACAGTTAAAATTATGGGATGCTAATGTTGTCTTCTATGATGTGCAACACAAACACCTCTGCTAAAATCTCAGAAAAAGTAGTCTGGGGTTTCATGAGCCTTTAAATGAGAGGCACGCACGTGTCGTCGGTGTCTATGGAGCCCCCACACGCAGCTCCTCCCTGAATGGACTCCATGGCACTGGAGTAAAGCGCTCGCTGCGCGGCCGGTCTCTTCTCATCGCTGCTGCTCTGAGATCCCTCCATCTGCTGCTCGCGCTCCGCCTGCTCCAGATTATGAACCCCCAGCAGCAGACTGTAGTCCATGATCTTAAAACTCTCCAACACCTGCACACACACAGCACACCTTCACTACACGCACTTTAGATCTGCACTAACCCAGCTAGGACTGCATGGTTAATCGAAGTAAAATCAAAATCACAATGTGACTAAAATATATAATAATAATAAAAAATACAATTATTATTATTAAATACTTGATTTTTTTCTGTTTTACAGTGAAATGTTACAATAGTAATATTTTTATTTTGTTTTTATTATTTTTATTTAGCAATAATAATAATAATAATCTTAATAATTATGATTAGTCATATTAATATACAAGCACAAAATTTTGGGCCAAATTGTACAGCCCCACAAACACGCACAACAAACCTGGTGTTTATTATATATATATTTAGTAAAAAAAAAAAAAAAAAGCAAATTTTAAATAATAATAATAATAATAATTATTATTATTATTAATAATAATATATAGTCATATGGTTATATAAACACAACATTTTGGCCAAATCATATAGTCCTACAGACATGCAAACCTGGATTTTTTTTATTTATTTTTTTACATATTTTAAATCACAATGGCAATTTTTAAATAATAATAATAATAATAATATATTATTATTAAATAATTTTTCTTAAATACTAATTTTTTTCTATTTATTTTACAGTGAAATACTACAATACTAATATTTATTCTGTTTTTATTTTGCAATTTTTATATCATTATTTAGTAGCAATAATAATAATAACAACAATAACAACAACAACAACAACAACGATAATAATACATTTTGTAGCCCTACAACCAAGAAAAACAAAACTGGAATTTTTTGTTTTTAATTTCATGTTAAATCAGAGTTGCAAATTTTGAAATACACATTTAAAAAAAAAATTTAATTACATTTAAATAAATTAATGTCCAGATTTACCTAATGAATAGTCTTAAAAGGTACACAGTTTGATTTTTTATAAATGTTTAATTTTTTATTATTGCATTATTTTTCTTAAATACTTGCTTTTTCTATTTTACAGTGAAGTATTACAATAGTAATATTTGTTATTTTGTTTTTATTTAGCAATTCATATTTTTATTTAGTTGCAATAATAATAATAATTTATATTGTTATTATTATTATTATTATTATTATTATATAATTACAAAATTTTGACCCAAAATTGTGTAACCCAACAAACAAGCAAACCTGGAGTTTTCGTTTTTAATCACAATCACAATTTTTATCGGAAAAATCTCAATTGGATGATTTTGCCGAGATCAAGCCGGTCTCTCTCACCAAACAGTCTCTCTGGAGCGTCTTCAGCAGCGCGTTATACGTGTCCACGTCCAGCAGGAGTCCGTCCTGAACGTCCTGCATGAAGTCCAGGTCTTTAAAGGTGGGCTTGGACTTCTCGCGCTCTTTCTTGGACGCGCGGCGCTTGTACGTGGAGCCCTTCAGGTCGAACTTGAGGTGCATGCGAACGATGCGCGGCAGGATGTTATTCATCACCACGATACGGATGTTCTTCCCTCCGGACTGAACGCAGTACAAGCCGAAGAACTTGGGAAGCAGCGTGCGGGGATTCTGGTTCAGGTTCTGAGGGACCAACAACACAGACGAGCCTCATTTAAAGAGTCAGAAAACCTGGGAAAAATGATTGAAATCGCTGCTACATGACCAGAGAAAACTGAGAAAAAGGGCTGTGGCGTAATAATGATGTGACCTGATTTCTGAAATATAAACCGGGAAGATTTCCTAGTTCAGTGGTCAGAAATCTCACTTGTTATTACCTATGGATCAAAAAATATGGACATGCATATCATATGTTTTTGTTTTTAAACTGTTGAGGGTTGCATATACTACCATTTTAATTATTTATTATTATGATGTTTGCGGGCCAAACTGACCCTAACTAGTTTTAATACCGTACAACTCATCAATATCATACTGTGAAAATAATAAATAGTAACCACCTTTGCAAATAGCAAACAGATCAAAACAGTTTCATATCATAACAAAATTATGACTTAACAAAAAAAAAATAAATTACAAAAATAAAACAAAATAAAAATGAGATAAACTGTATTTAACAATACTTTTTAAAATTATATTTAATCTTTTCATTTTCACAAACTATGCATATATAAATACACTGTTTATACAGTATTTTTTTCAAATGTTATTTTATGTTTGTACTTTTGGAAGTTAATCTTTACTATCCCTAATTATGCTTATTATTTAGCATTTTTAAGGTTCGTTTTGAGCACAAATTAAGCACTAATTTGTGGCATTTAACATTTTTTATTTCAATCCTTAAAGCAACTGAAAAAGAGAAGTGCCTTAACTCTCTTTATGTATCTGTTTATCTATCTTTATTTTTAATGTTTCATTTTTTTTTTTGTAGAATTTCCATTTTTCATATCATTTATATATTTAGTATTTATTATTTGTTAATCTAGATTTTTTATATTTTCATCTGTTGAATGATGCAAAATGAGGCATTTTTAAATCTAGAACCTTAAAAAAACATTTTCATTACTTGAAATAAAAACAAATAAAATAAAAATAAACAGCAGAAATTTTATTTTAGCTAGTTGCCAAGGAAACATTTCTCATTTTCATTTTGTTTAAGTTACAGATAAATAACTAAAAATAACTAGCGCTGTCAAACGATTAATCGCGATTAATCACATCCAAAATAAATTGTTGTTTACATAATATATGTGTGTACTGTGTATATTTATTATGTGTCTATAAATACAAACACATGCATGTATATATTTAAGAAAAATATGTTATGTTTATATATGAAATATATTTATATATAATATAAAATATAAGAATATAAATATATAAACGTATATGCATGTAAATATTTCCAAAATATATACTGTATGTGTGTATTTATATATACATAATAAATATGCACACTACACATACACATATTATGTAGACAAAAACTTTTATTTTGGATGCGATTAATCAACAGCACTAAAAATAACGAATTAACTTGATAAAAAAAAACATGTAGACATAAAAAAGTAAATTACTACAACATTAACTTAAATTAAAATGAAAAATAAAATATAAAAATTAAACATTAAAAACTATAATCGTATACTATACAACAATAACACTGTTTGAAAATTGTAAATATGGCACATGTGATTTTTTTTTAAATAAACTAAATTTGTGTCTTGACCACAGACTCTGTTTGTGTTTGAATGCACAAATGCATTACCTTAAACTTCATTACTTCACTTACTCTTAATGCTGCAACAGCTTCACATCACATACATTTTTAAACATTTAAAAAGGGTTGGCCTAAAATGTTAATGCTTTTATGTAAGATGCATACTTTGAAATTTCCGCAGAAATATTTAACCAGCCAGCTTTGTCCTACTCTTTTATTTGTGATCATGCACACTACTGTTTGTGTGATGAAGCTGAACTGGACTGAGGACGAGCTGCTGGCTCACCATGTAGTATCCTGGAAGCAGCTTCTGCAGGAACTCAGCCTCTTTGTGCATGACGGTCTTCAGGATGAATTCATCGTCTCGAGTGACGTAGAAAATGGAGCCGCTGGCACCGGGGTTTGAGAGCTCGATCAAGGGCTCATTACAGAGAGAATACTGCAACAAACACAGAGACGTCAGAGAGACGTCTGATTAATCAATATTCGCTGATATGATGCAGCTCTCCACTGAGTCAGACTTTTGTACTTTTTGGAGCTTTTATTAATATGAATCACCATCCACTTTTATTGCATGAAAAACAAACAGCGTCTTGTGTTCCACAGAAGAAAGAAAGTCAAAAATTTGGTGTAGAAATAATTTTCTCTCAGAAATCGCTAGTAAATTTAACAAACAGGTACAAAGAAATGGCAAGAGACACACTGAATTACACTGAAACGTTTCTTGTAAAATGTACTTCAAAAATTGTTTTATTTATTACAACTATGAAAAATATATACATTTTTTTTTTTTAAAGTGTACAGATTTGGAACAGTGTTATTTTAATAAAAATAAGATACTATTATAGTTTTTGAATTATTTTGTTTTTATATTTTGTGTTTTCATTTTAATTTTAGTTAAAGTTTTAGCAATTTTGTTGTGTTTTTATCATTCATAATTTCCTTTAAATATCTCTTTATATTTTTAAATAATTTTTTACTTCAGTTTTAACTAGCTAAAATTAAAAAAGTTTTGTTTTAATATATACGTATATATTTATTTTCATAAAATTCTATTTCATTTTAAGTAACACATTTTTAAAAATGTTTTACAGTAGTTTTAGTTAACTATGATAACCCCGGTTTGTAACATGATAACAGACTTTCCTTCATTGTGTGAACCATTTCTTTTTTTTAAAAGAAGCAACATAAGGGCTGGGATCTCACACTCACACACTCTCACACACACACACACACACACACACACACACACACACACACACACACACCAACACAC